GGCTGTTGAACAAGTTGAGGAGACTAAATTACTTGGCGTTACCTTAGATTGTAAACTGTCATGGTCAAACAATATTGATTAAATGGTTGTAAAGATGGGGATGGGATTTGTCTGTGATAAAGAGATGCTCTGCTTTTATGACACCACACTCCACCAAGCAAGTCCTGCATGCTCTAGTTTTATCTTATCTTGGTTATTGTCCAATCATATGGTTAAGTGCTGCAAAGAAAGACCTAGTTATCCTGTGGCACGTCTTGCTCTTCATTTTAATCAGAGGGCTAATATTAATACTATGCATGCCAGTCTCTCTTGGCTAAGAGTTGAGGAGAGACTGACTGCATCACTTCTTGTTTTGATAAGAAACATGAATATGTTGGAAATATGTTTGCATAGTCAACTTAGACACACACTTACCCCACCAGACATGCCACCAGGGGTCTTTTCACAGCACTGACACACTTAGCCCACCAGACATGCCACCAGGGGTCTTTTCACAGTCCCCAGGTCCAGAACAAATTCAAGGAAACTTACAGTATTATCCAGAGCCATGAGTGCATGGAACTCCCTTCCATCTTATATGGAGCAGGTGAACAGCAAACCTGGTTTCAAAAAAACAGATAAAGCAACACCTCACGGCACAACGCCTCTCCCCCATGTGACCTACTTGTTGTGTATATGTACTGACATGTATGTGTAACTAATAGATGCACACACACACACACACTACATGTTCATGTTTTTAAATGTAAAGTACCAGTCAAAAGTTTGGACACACATACTCATTCAAGGGTTTTTTCTTTATTTTTACTATTTTCTACATTGTAGAATAATAGTGAAGACATCAAAACTATGAAATAACACATATGGAATCATGTAGTAACCAAAAAAGTGTTAAACAAATATTTGAGATTCTTCAAAGTAGCCACCCATTGCCTTGATGACAGCTTTGCACACTCTTGGCATTCTCTCAACTACCTTCACCTGTAATGCTTTTCCAACAGTCTTGAAGGAGTTCCCACATATGCTGAGCACTTGTTGGCTGCTTTTCCTTCACTCTGCGGTCCAACTCATCCCAAACCATCTCAATTGGGTTGAGGTCGGGTGATTGTGGAGGCCAGGTCATCTGATGCAGCACTCCATCACTCTCCTTCTTAGTCAAATAGCCCTTACACAGACTGGAGGTGTGTTTTGGGTCATTGTCCTGTTGAAAAATAAATTATAGTCCCACTAAGCGCAAACCAGATGGGATGGCGTATTGCTGCAGAATGCTATGGTAACCATGCTGGTTAAGTGTGCCTTGAATTCTAAATAAATGACTGACAGTGTCACCAGCAAAGCACCCCCCACACCATCACACGTCCTCCTCCATGCTTCACGGTGGGAAATACAATGCGGAGATCATCCGTTCACCTACTCCGCGTATCACAAAGACAAGGCGGTTGGAACCAAAAATCTCACATTTGGACTCCAGAACAAAGGACAGATTTCCACTGGTCTAATGTCCATTGCTCGTGTTTCTTGGCCAAGCAAGTCTCTTCTTATTATTGGTGTCCTTTAGTAGTGGTTTCTTTGCAGCAATTTGACCATGAAGGCCTGATTCACACAGTCTCCTCTGAACAGTTGATGTTGAGGTGTGTCTGTTACTTGAACTCTGTGAAGCATTTATTTGGGCTGCAATTTCTGAGGCTGGTAACTCAAATGAACTTATCCTCTGCAGCAGAGGTAATGCTGGGTCTTTCATTCCTGTGGCGGTCCTCATGAGAGCTATAGTGCTTGATGGTTTTTGCGACTGCACTTAAATAAACTTTTAAAGTTCTTGAAATGTCCTTCATGTCTTAAAGTAATGATAGACTGTTGTTTCTCTTTGCTTATTTGAGCTGTTCTTGCCATAATATGGACTTGGTATTTTACCAAATAGGGCTATCTTCTGTATACCCCCCCCCCCCCCCCCCCCCCCCACCTTGTCACAACCCAACTGATTGGCTCAAACGCATTAAGAAGGAACGAAATTCCACAAATTAACTTTTAAGAAGGCACACTTGTTAATTGAAATGAATTCCAGGTGACTACCTCATAAAGCTGGTTGAGAGAATGCCAAGAGTGTGCAAAGCTGTCATCAAAGCAAAGTATGGCTATTTGAAGAATCTCAAATATAAAATACACTTTTTTGTTACTACATGATTCCGTGTGTGTTATTTCATAGTTTTGATGTCTTCACTATTATTCTACAATGTAGAAAATAGTACAAATAAAGAAAAACCCTTGAATGAGTAGGTGTGCACGTAGAAATAGAATGAATAGATTGGCCATTTCCAATGAATGCAGCGTTCCCTGTTGCGTACACCAGTTGCCGTATTTGGTGTCCCCAGGGCCCTCTATCTAGAAGGCTCTGTTGTGTAGTGGTCATTCGGAATGTTTGATTGATTGTTATGAAGTCAGAGAACAGAATTATGTTCCTTTGTCAGGGTTCTAAACATGCAACAATGGCAGATTCCATTGTTCAAATCTGTCTGTGCAGGACTTTCTGTTCTACACATTCTGATTCTATGGGACTACACCAAGTAGTAGAATGAAAAATCTAAGTGGCAAACATGACATGATCCACCAAACGTTATCACAATTGTAATATTTCAATTGTGCATGAAGACGCTATGGCCCATATCCTTTCTACAGGATAGGTTTATTGAATGAGTTGTGCTGTGCTGTTGCCACCTGTAAGGCACCTAACAATCATTACCCTAGCATAGCGAAAGTCTGAAGGTTTTAGTGAAGTGCGTCGCAAATAACGCCCTATTCCCTTTATAGTGCACTACTTTAGACCTGGGCCCTGGTCAAAAAGTAGTGCTCTGTCACAGGAGGTTAGTGGCACCTTAATTGGGGAGGACGGGCTCGTGGTAATGGCTGGATCGGGAATAGGTGGAATGGTGTCAAATACATCAAAAACACATGGTTTCCATTTCTCCGTTCCAGCCATTATTATGAGCCGTCCTCCCCTCAGCAGCCTCCACTGTGCTCTATGTAGGGAATAGGGTGATATTTGGGACGCAGCCAATATCATTGTGCAATGGTAAGGTGAAGGCTTCAGTCTCAGTGTGGTAACACTGCACTTGGCTGCTTCAAATCGTTCGGTGTCTCCTAGATACACGTTGCGTAGAAATGTTAAGTAACAAACATATTGTAAAACGTAGGGACAGAATAGTGAGCCAGTGCACTGGAGGTGTTTCGTAACATTTTGCATTTTTTTATTTAACATTGCAACAACAACAAAAAAAATGCATAAAGACAGAAACTGTGCGTATGTTACAATTTTCCACTAAACTAATGATTCTGTTGAAAAATACTGATATATCCATTCAATTCATACTTCTTCAAAATTGTAATTATTATTAGAAACTAAACGTTTCTGTACCACTTGTATTATACATGTGGTCCTCTGTAGCTCAGCTGGTAGAGCACGGCGCTTGTAACGCCAAGGTAGTGGGTTCGATCCCCGGGACCACCCATACACAAAAATGTATGCACGCATGACTGTAAGTCGCTTTGGATAAAAGCGTCTGCTAAATGGCATATTATTATTTTTATACAAAGTTTACAAAACTGAAAATAATAATTCCCATACTGTACACAACATAATAACGTATTCTTTTTTTTTTTTTTTTTTTACATTTGAGTGAGGTGAGTATGTTCTACGACAGGGTTCTCCAACCTTTTCTAGCATGTGAGGTGAGTATGTTCTACGTTCTACGACAGGGTTCTCCAACCTTTTCTAGCATGTGAGGTGAGTATGTTCTACGTTCTACGACAGGGTTCTCCAACCTTTTCTAGCATGTGAGGTGAGTATGTTCTACGTTCTACGACAGGGTTCTCCAACCTTTTCTAGCATGTGAGGTGAGTATGTTTCTACGTTCTACGACAGGGTTCTCCAACCTTTTCTAGCATGTGAGGTGAGTATGTTCTACGTTCTACGACAGGGTTCTCCAACCTTTTCTAGCATGTGAGCTACTTTTTAAAAAATTTGACATTTTGAAAGCTACTCATTTTTTTCTATCTTTCAAATAGGCACATTCTTCTCTTCTCCTCTCCCCTGCAACTCTTCCCCGGGTCCTTCGTGTACACGAGAAAGTAGTGCACTATGTTTTTTGTCAATACACCTGGTAAAATAATGGTTATTAAACAACTCTAAGGGGGTGGGGGGGGATATAAATAGAGTGTTTTCCCAAAATTTTTATTTTATATTTTCCCAAATTATGTTCAATGTTATTTTTCACTCTTAAATTACAATTGTTTATAGAGAAACAATGAAATTGGATGTTCTGTGTCCACGTAAAAGCTTAAAGAAAAATGTAGGACAAAACATTTTTGTTGTTGTAATTCCCCTTTAATTGCACATCTGCCCCTTTAATTGCATATCTAGCGAGTGAGGACTGTGCTGTCTAATGTTCCAGTGTAGTGATGACTCTGTACTGCTGCTGCTCATTCCATAGCAAAAGTTTGCAACTAACAAATAATAGATACAAATGATATACTTCCTCATAATATACTTCTGGCAGGTAAGCCTACTTTGCAGTTAAACAATGAATTGAGAAGGGTTTTGGGGAAAGTATTTCTGTCAACACACAAGACGGTTATCGCATTCAACTGGCTACAGACAGACAGGGGCAATATTGCTGGAAATCAATTGGCAGATATTAGTGTTAGGTTTGGCTTTTTAAGCCAATAGTGGCTAACCAGGGGTGGGATAATGTCAAGTTGCGTTGGTTAGATAGTAGCTGGGAGCTTGCGGTGTCTGATACTTGTGAGATTTGTTTATGACAGTTTGCAATGGAACACTTGAACATTTCTGTCACGCCCTGGCTCTGGGGACTCTTATATGTTGAGCCAGGGCGTTAGTTTCTATGTTTAGTGTTCTATGTTCATGTTCTAGTTCATGTGTTTCTATGTTGGCCGGGGTGGTTCCCAATCAGAGGCAGCTGTGGCTTGTTGTCTCTGATTGGGACCCATACTTAGGCAGCCTGTTTTGCACTGGTCTTTTGTGGGATCTTGTTCCGGAGAGGTTTGTGTTTTGTTAACCTTAGGACTTCACGTATCGTTTTGTGTTGTATTATAAAGTACTCATTAAAAGATGTACGCATATCGCGCTGCGCCTTGGTCCGTTACTTACGACGACCGTGACAATTTCACATACTTTCAGAATTGTTTGGTGAGCTACTCATCGGTGGGCTGCGTGCTACTGGTAGCTGGGGATCTATGCTTCAAACTTTAATTTGCGTAATGTATTGGACATCTTCAATTGTTCCAGATGACAGAAAGAAAATAAAAAAACCTCTGAAAACCCCCCCCCCCCCACTTTTCATTTGAAATCCAGAGCTGAAGGTGAACCTTTTACTTTTAGTCAATAATTTTTTCCTTCATCTGTATTTTAGCGGAGACAGAGTCGACGGTGTCTTCTCTGAAGCCGTTCTCTTTCTGGCAGCAGCGGTTGTAGATGAGTTTGAATATGGCGACTCCAGGCACAGCCAGACTAGGAATGCCAGCCAGGATGAAGATGATGACGTAGATCCAGCCAGGATACTGACGGTCTGCCAGGGTGGGGAACTCCTCCTGGAACCAGGGAGATTAAGGAAATCAGGGAACAACAAAAATAACTGACTTTATTGACTTAACTTTATTGTTTATCCTCATTTGTCTTTTAATTTGTTGATCATTTATTAATCTTGGTTAACCCGATGCTCGATTTAAGTTCTGTGTCCATACCGTGTTAAGAGAAGAGATGTCACACCCTGGCTCTGGGGACTCTAATATGTTGAGCCAGGGTGTGTAGAGTCTATGTGTTTTGGTTCTACGTTCATTTCTAGTATTGTGTTTCTATGTTGGCCAGTGTGGTTCTCAATCAGAGGCAACGAGTATCAGCTGTTGCTTGTTGTCTCTGATTGGGAGCCATACTTAAGCAGCCAGTTTTCCCACAGTGTTTGTGGGATCTTGTTCCGTGTTGGTTGTGTTAGACCTAGGACGTCACGTTATTGTTTGTTGTTTTGTTTTTTGTGTGCACTTAATAAAATAAGTATGTACGACTATCACGCTGCGCCTTGGTCCTCCTCCTTCGACGATCGTGACAAGAGAACCGGAATGAAGAGCTCCACCTTCTCTCTTCGCAAGTTACGGGCAAGTCTATGGACCAAATGTCCCTGCCCTTCCAAAAATCTAAAAATGCTAACACCTAAGAAATCGTGGTTTTTCCAAATAACCAGTGAGGAAAAACCCAAGCACCAGAGCTAAACTGTTGCTGCCTTATCTCACTCATCCTGTTGTATCATGACAGATCTACGGTACCATTTATGTTTACATAGACTGTCCACGAGACTAGGCCAGTCAAGTTCTTCCACACCGATCTCGACAACCCCTTTCTGTATGGACCTCGCTTTGTGCACGGGGGAATTGTCATGCTAAAACAGGAAAGGGCCTTCCACAAATTGATGCCACAAAGTTGGAAGCACAGAATCGTCTAGAATGTCATTGAATGCTGTAGCATTAAGATTTCCCTTCACTGTAACTAAGGGGCCTTGCCCGAACCATGAAAAACAGCCCCAGACCATTATTCCTCCTCCACCAAACTTTACAGTTGGCACTATGCATTGGGGCAGGTAGCGTTCTGCTGGCATCCACCAAACTCGGTCGGACTGCTCCAGAGTCCAATGGCTGCAAGCTTTACACCACTCCAGCCAACGCTTGGCATTGCGCATGGTGATCTTAGGCTTGTGTGCGGCTGCTCGGCCATGGAAACCCATTTCATGAAGCTCCCGACAAACAGTTCTTGTGCTGACGTTGCTTCCAGAGGCAGTTTGGAATTTGGTAGTGAGTGTTGCAACCGAGGACAGATTATTTTTACGTGCTTCAGCACTCGGCGATCCAGTTCTGTGAGCTTGTGTGGCCTACCACTTCGCTGCTGAGCCGTTGTTGCTCCTAGACGTTTCCACTTCACAATAACATCACTTACAGTCGACCGGGGCAGCTCTAGCAGGGCATACATTTGATGTACTGACTTGTTGGAAAGGTGGCATCCTATGACGGTGCCACGTTGAAAGTCACTGAGCTCTTCAGTAAGGCCATTCTACTGCCAATGTTTGTCTATGGAGATTGCATGGCTGTGTGCTCGATTTTATACACCTGTCAGCAACGGGTGTGGCTGAAATATTCAAATCCACTAATTTTGAAGGGATGTACACATACTTTTGTATATAAAGTGTAGTTAAAAGCACACTAAAGTTCAAATGGGAATACAATGTCAGCTATTTTGTTTATTTACGCAACAATTTAATGTGTTATCACAGTGCTTGATCTAATAGCACAACCAAATGACATGGATTACAGTTAGTTGAGATGACATTAAAGTACATGGTGCAAGTGATCAATGCACTCAGACTCCTGAGTGGCGCAGTGGTCAGTGCTAGCTGTGCCACTAGAGATCCTGGTTCGAATCCAGGCTCTGTCGCAGCCGGCCGCGACCGGGAGACCCATGGGGCGGCGCACAATTGGCCCAGCGTCGTCCAGGGTAGGGGAGGGAATGGCCGGCAGGGATGTAGCTCAGTTGATAGAGCATGGCGTTTGCAACGCCAGGGTTGTGGGTTTGATTCCCACGGGGGGCCAGTATAAAAAAATATATATATATGTATTCACTAACTGTAAGTCGCTCTGGATAAGAGCGTCTACTAAATGACTAAAATGTAAAAATGTAATGTAAATGATATTCTCTGTAGATAGATTATTATATCAATTGTGACATTCCCACAGACCTGCGACCTTGAACGCTTTCTATGATGACATAAAGACATGTTACAGTTATCAGTAAGCCTCAAACGGTGCCCAGTGGTAGTGTACTCCATAGTCTAGGTTGAATAATCTGTTACATCGTGCTGCAAGATATTTAGGCTATTCCTCTGGTCCTTTATATGCCATTAGATTCCAGTGTGGGGTGCGGACATCGCTCTGGAGGTAATTTAATTTTTAGTTGATAAGAGAAATGGCACAAGTCAATGTCTGCAATCCCATTGGGGCTTTCAAAAGATTGCCACCCTATGGGGCCGTTAAAAGTATGCACTACTAGGCCCTGGTCAAATGTAAGTGCACTGACCCTACGAGCCCTGTCAAAGTAAATGCACTACCTAACGCCCTGTCAAAAGTAGTGCAATACCCTATGTGCCCTGTCAAAGTAGTGCATATAGCCAATTGCCCTGGTCAAAGTTCACACCCATAGCGCCTGGTCAAAAGTTGTCTACCCTCGGGCCTGGCAAAAGTATGCACACCATGCCCTGTCACAGTTAGTGCACTACCCTAAACGGCCCATGGTCAAAGTATCACTACCTATTGGCCCTGTCAAAAGTAGTGCATACCCTATGGGCCTGGCAAGATATTGCTAGCCTACTCCCTGTCAAAAGTAGTGCACTACCCTATGGCCATGGATTCAAGTAGTGCCTGACACTATGGGCCTGTCAAAGTAGTGCACTACCCTATGGGCCTGTTCAAAGTAGTGCACACTAACGGCCCTGGAAAATATGCATACCCTAGGCCTGTCAAGTAGTTGCACTACCCTATGGGCCTGGTCAAAAGTAGTGCACTACCCTACGGGCCCTGGTCAAAAGTAGTGCACTACCCTATGGGCCCTGGTCAAAAGTAGTGCACTACCCTATGGGCCCTGGTCAAAAGTAGTGCACTACCCTATGGGCCCTGGTCAAAAGTAGTGCACTACCCTATGGGCCCTGGTCAAAAGTAGTGCACTACTAAAGGAATAGGGTATCATTTGGGACACAGACAACGACATCAACCACATCCATTAACTATTTCCTGTCAACAGGACTTACCGCGTCTTGGTCCCACACGAGGTAGGTCAGCTCCCCGCTGACCTGGGTGACGAAGTAGAAGATGAAGATGGCCAGCATGATGACTGGACTGACGAACCTCCAGGTCACCTGCCAGAACAGGTTGGGCTTGTGGCCAATCATGAACTCGATGTCTGCGTTAAACCTGTCAGAGTGAGCAGAGTGAATAAACTGGGATGTCGATGTTCCAATGGCTTCCAATTCCAAGGGCTGGTTATCAGAGTGAATGTTCACAGTGATATCAAATGAAGAGGAATACGCACACTGTGATACATGTTCCCAATTCCCAAGTCTGATTTATCAAGACAGGTCTAATGAAGACCTAAGGTGTACTCAGGGGCGCAACATTCACTGGGGACAAGTTCCCCCCCCCCCCCCATATTCTGAAATTGCATTTTTGTTCCCCCCCAGTTGTATCATTGGAATGTGATACAAAACAAGGCTACGGTGTGCTTTAGGACCATGCGGACGCCTCCAAGCGGTCGGGTAGGCTGTTTGGAGTGTTTATCCTACTGGATAAAAAAATATACATATATTATTATTATGTCCACCCCACTTCTAAAGCCAAAGTTGCGCCCCTGGATGTACTTATACGTCTACTGAGGTCTACTACTGTTACGGATACAGGTATCCTGTGTTTTTGTGTGTTTCTCTCCTTCTGCCCTAATCACAGGTGTCCTGTATGTTCCTGATTGGTGGTCGTTGAGGTGTCTGCTGATTGGACCAATCAGTGAACATTCCTGTGCATTGCACCACCTGTTACTCGTTTGTTCAATCACACATCCCATTGTATAAAAACCAGTCTTGTGTTTGTTGAGAGAGAGGGAGAGAATATTTCCGTATGTGAGTATGGACACGGTGGTGTCCTGTTTTTGGTTACTCACTAAGTTGCTGTTTACTATGATTGGTAATTCTGTTAGACCACTGTTTTGTATGTGAGTAATGGATACTGTGATGTCCTGGGTTTAGAGTACTCATTGATTTGTTGGTTACTCTTTTGGGACTATTGTGTTTCTGGGAAAAGGGGAGTTTGAGCTAGCTGCCCTTGGGCATACATTTCCGTAGAAAAGAACTGTCTAATAAACACTAGTTATGATCTGAGCGGACCACCCACTGTATTTTTTGTATGGTGCAGTAGCCTAGCGGTTCTTGAGGCAGGCCAGAATCAGGCTTAGGGTGTTTACCTTATTGTTTCATTTTCTGGTGCCTCTCAGCCCTTTTTCCCAAACCGTTACCGTGTGTTCAGAAATAAACGCATGTGTGGTTTGACGGTAGTTTATTGTTTCGTGTAGTTTTCCTTCTCCCTGTTCCATGCCACACTTATAATTGTGCATGATTTATGTTTACGGGTCTCAGTCCATCCACCCTAGATGTTTAGAGCCACGGGGTTCGTAACAACTACATTACACATGTCTAGAGGGGAACACATGTCTAGTATGGAACACATGTCTAGCGTGGAACACATGTCTAGCGTGGAACACATGTCTAGCGTGGAACACATGTCTAGCGTGGAACACTGTCTACGTGGAACCATGTCCTACGTGGAACACATGTCTAGCATGGAACACATTCTATCGTTGAACACATGTCTAGCATGGAACACATGTCTAGTATGGAAAACATGTCTAGTATGGAACACATGTCTAGTATGGAACACATGTCTAGCGTGGAACACATGTCTAGCGTGGAACACATGTCTAGCGTGGAACACATGTCCAGTGTGGAACACATGTCTAGCATGGAGCACATGTCTAGTATGGAACACATGTCTAGTGTGGAACACATGTCTAGTGTGGAACACATGTCTAGCGTGGAACACATGTCTAGCGTGGAACACATGTCTAGCGTGGAACACATGTCTAGCGTGGAACACATGTCTAGCGTGGAACACATGTCTAGCGTGGAACACATGTCTAGCATGGAACACATGTCCAGCATGGAACACATGTCTAGCATGGAACACATGTCTAGCGTGGAACACATGTCTAGCATGGAACACATGTCTAGCATGGAACACATGTCTAGCATGGAACACATGTCTAGCATGGAACACATGTCTAGCATGGAACACATGTCTAGTATGGAACACATGTCTAGTATGGAACACATGTCCAGTATGGAACACATGTCTAGCATGGAACACATGTCTAGTATGGAACACATGTCTAGTATGGAACACATGTCCAGTATGGAACACATGTCTAGCATGGAACACATGTCTAGCATGGAACAACATGATCTACATGGAACACATGTCTAGCATGGAACACATGTCTAGCATGGAACACATGTTACAGTAGTGGAACACATGTCTAGTATGGAACACATGTCTAGCATGGAACACATGTCTAGCATGGAACACATGTCTAGCATGGAACACATGTCTAGTATGGAACACATGTCTTACATGGAACACATGTCTATCATGGAACACATGTCCAGTATGGAACACATGTCTGTCTAATGACTTTGAGCTTTGGCTGGATATCTGAGTTAATGTTCACTCTAGAGACCTAAGTACCTAATATCGTCTTCCCTAAGGGTCTACATATCGTCTTACCTAAGGGTCTACACATCGTCTTACCTAAGGGTCTACACATCGTCTTACCTAAGGGTCTACACATCGTCTTACCTAAGGGTCTACACATCGTCTTCCCTAAGGGTCTACACATCGTCTTCCCTAAGGGTCTACACATCGTCTTCCCTAAGGGTCTACACATCGTCTTCCCTAAGGTCTACACATCGTCTTCCCTAAGGGTCTACACATCGTCTTCCCTAAGGGTCTACACATCGTCTTCCCTAAGGGTCTACACATCGTCTTCCCTAAGGGTCTACACATCGTCTTCCCTAAGGGTCTACACATCGTCTTCCCTAAGGGTCTACACATCGTCTTCCCTAAGGGTCTACACATCGTCTTACCTAAGGGTCTACACATCGTCTTCCCTAAGGGTCTACACATCGTCTTACCTAAGGGTCTACACATCGTCTTACCTAAGGGTCTACACATCGTCTTACCTAAGGGTCTACACATCGTCTTCATAAATCAGTCGTTTACAGTGACATATAGTGTGCAGAGATAGTTCTCCATTAGAGTTGAGAATGAGTCATGGGGGTACCATGTGGTATCAGTTGAGAATGAGTCATGGGGGTACCATGTGGTATCAGTTGAGAATGAGTCATGGGGGTACCATGTGGCATTAGTACAGCTGAGTGCACCAGCACACTTCCTGGTTCCAGAGATACAATCTGCAGGCCTAATGCTCTCCCTTCCTCCCAGTGGACATAATGACACTAAAACGTGCCTTTTTATTGTCCTGATAAAGCAGGCTGTAGTGACATTGTGGTTGTTTTTCTGAAGGACAAAGTGCCCCTGATGTTTTAATGCTGTTTGTTTGGATGTGATTTATGTCACTGTGAAGCGGAAAGGTACATGTCCACATAGCATTGACAGGTATTTCTATTCCATTCAGTTCTATTTTATTTTAATGGTGTTCTGGCTCTGGACTCACCTGTCTATCCCGTAGATGTAAACAACAGACACCATCTCACAGAAGGCGATGACTAGGAGAGGGATGGAGCCGGCGAAGCTGTCGAACAAGGCCAGCCAGTAGTTACCAGACTGCTGGGTGAATATGAGAGCGATGGCGAAACATACAACACAAGTCACACCTGAAAAAACAAAACAAAGAACATCGTGAAAAGTTGACAACCAAGGTTCTTTCAGGGGTGCTCAACCTCATTGGATGTTCAGAGGATCCCCCTAAAGGTCAACGACAAGCTTGTGATCTCAATCCCCGAACAACTGATGAGACAATGCTTTGGGTTGAAGCCATTTCGATTCAGTGCAGCTCAGAAGAAGAAGAATCTCAGCTACTGTATGTCACTAACCTGTCAAGACCTCTTTGGGCCACTTGGGGAAGATGTTGAGATCCTGAAGGGGCACCACGACCCCTTCTATGTTCCCAAACATGGTAGACAGTCCCAGACAGAAGAGCATGACGAAGAACAGGATGGCCCAGAGAGGAGAGATCGGCATCTTGGTGATGGCCTCTGTGAACACGATGAAGGCCAGACCGGTTCCCTCCACACCCTACAGCAAACACAGTACCGACTTAAGAAAGTTCTGGTGTCCCTTGGAGTCAATGATATGTCTTGGATTGGACGTCATGTAATTTCACTACCTGACTGAGAAACTGCTGCAGATCGCAGGTCTTCAGGTTTAATCCATGGATGATGTCTGGTGATGTGCTGTTGAGACCTTGGAGAACTTCCTCATAGTTGTTCACAGTGAAGTGGTCCTCAGGAAGATCAAATGCATTCAGCAGGGCCATGATGTTACTAGGAAGAGATCACATTCAGCAGGGCCATGATGTTACTAGGAAGAGATCACATTCAGCAGGGCCATGATATTACTAGGAAGAGATCACATTCAGCAGGGCCATTATGTTACTAGGAAGAGATCACATTCAGCAGGGCCATGATGTTACCAGGAAGATCACATTCAGCAGGGCCATGATGTTACTAGGAAGAGATCACATTCAGCAGGGCCATGATGTTACTAGGAAGAGATCACATTCAGCAGGGCCATGATGTTACTAGGAAGAGATCACATTCAGCAGGGCCATGATGTTACTAGGAAGAGATCACATTCAGCAGGGCCATTATGTTACTAGGAAGAGATCACATTCAGCAGGGCCATGATGTTACTAGGAAGAGATCACATTCAGCAGGGCCATTATGTTACTAGGAAGAGATCACATTCAGCAGGGCCATGATGTTACCAGGAAGAGATCACATTCAGCAGGGCCATGATGTTACTAGGAAGAGATCACATTCAGCAGGGCCATTATGTTACTAGGAAGAGATCACATTCAGCAGGGCCATGATGTTACTAGGAAGAGATCACATTCAGCAGGGCCATTATGTTACTAGGAAGAGATCACATTCAGCAGGGCCATTATGTTACTAGGAAGAGATCACATTCAGCAGGGCCATGATGTTACTAGGAAGAGATCACATTCAGCAGGGCCATTATGTTACTAGGAAGAGATCACATTCAGCAGGGCCATGATGTTACTAGGAAGAGATCACATTCAGCAGGGCCATTATGTTACGGCAGGTAGCTTAGTGGTTAAGAGCGTTGTGCCAGTAATCGAAGGTCGCTGGTTCTAATCCCCGAGCCGACTAGGTGAAAAATCTGTCGATGTGCCCTTGAGCAAGGCACTTAACCCTAATTGCTCCTGTAAGTCGCTATGGATAAGAGCGTCTGCTAAATGACTAAAATGTTTTTTTGTAAAACTTTACTAGGAAGAGATCACATTCAGCAGGGCCATGATGTTACTAGGAAGAGATCACATTCAGCAGGGCCATGATGTTACTAGGAAGAGATCACATTCAGCGGGGCCATTATGTTACTAGGAAGAGATCACATTCAGCAGGGCCATGATGTTACCAGGAAGAGATCACATTCAGCGGGGCCATGATGTTACTAGGAAGAGATCACATTCAGCGGGGCCATGATGTTACTAGGAAGAGATCACATTCAGCAGGGCCATGATGTTACTAGGAAGAGAGTACATAGAAGTATGACCAAAATATCCAACTCATTAGTTTATCTTCCTCTAATCCCCATTCATTAAATCCAATTTTGACAGTGTTGTCAACAAATATGCGTTCAATCTACATTGAATTTGGATGAAAGTATGGATTCAACCAAGAAGGAACTAGGAACTTACCCATCCGTGCATTCGTCAAACTTCTCTGTGGCCCTGAAGCCAATGATAGAGTAGATGACGGTAGCAGAGTAGACCGACGTGAAGCCGTTGATGATGGAGATGATGACGGCATCTTGTTCACAGTTGTTGCTGGAGAAACAGACAATGGAAGCAAATTACTCAAATTAATTTGAAGAGATGAAAGACGAGATCCATTTGGTATAATTTCTATGAGCATCTATGACTTACTCTCTGCATGGATTAGGATTCAGCCTCAATAAAAGTCTTCTTAAAACGTTGTAATAAGGAGTCACTTACTGCACTGAGTTATAGCTGGAGAAGGAGATGAGACCTCCAAAGGCCAAGGAGAAAGAGTAGAACACCTGAGCACCTGCATCCAGCCAGGTGGACGGGTTCATCAACTCATTCACCTGGAGAAATAGAAAACAGTTAGACACAAAGAATTAGTATCATGACAACGGTAGTACATAAAGTTAATACTTACATCTGGTGTGAAGAGGAACTTGACTCCATCCAGAGAACCTTTGAGAGTCAGTCCTCTGATCAGGAAGATGGTGAGCACCAAGTAGGGCAACGTGGATGTTATGTACACAGCCTGACGAGGGAGAGAGAGAAATGAGAAAGAGAGAGATTATAAAACTGCTACATAAACTGAATCCAGAACCACTGAGAGAGAGAGAGAGAGAGAGAGAGAGAGAGAGAGAGAAACATCAGTGATAAGACAACTGGCACCATTCCCAAGGCAGGCCATTATCTTAGCAGAAATTTGACCTCCCTCACAAGCAGGAAGAAATTAAAGCTGAGCTGGTACCTTGCCAGTAGTCTCGATCCCCCTGATACAGCAGACGTAGAGCAGAGTCCAGGCAGACACCAGGGCTAGCACCATCCACCACTGGAGGCCTCCAGATATATCTATGGCCGTAGAGGTGTTCAGAGTCTCTCTGTACCAGAAGTAATCCACTGAGGTGCTCCGTGCGCATTCTGACACCAGACCTGCAGGGGGCGATATTCAAACTGTTTAAAGGCCGGTCTGGATCTAAAATTACAACAGCTAAGATGAGATGAGATAGAAGTTGGGTTGGTCTGAATTGTCAATCTTTGACTAGCTAGCTATCTACTGCCAATGCATTCAGCATGATTCAGCATTATTCAGCATGATACAGCATGATACAGCATGATTCTGCATGATACATCTTTGAGGAAAGACTCAAAGACATAAAATATCTGTTTTACTTAACGCTATCTGGCTAGCCAGCTCATCTCAAATAAATATGTGTGAGCGTTAGCTATAGACGGATGGGTTGCTGAGATGAAACCGCTGCGTGCGCAACCGTGGAGCAAAACAGGCGGGGTTGGCTTAGAATCAAATGATTGTTGACGACATGGAAATTATATTAGAAAATTATTGAAAACATACATTTGCACAATGAGAACTTGTTGTCTGTCAAATACATTGTTACATTAATTTTTTTTGCCATATTAGCATAGACGCGACGAGTCAAAACACCTCAAAACAACATGATATTAATAACAGCCACCTACGATTCCCCACAAGACAGCTTCTTAACAAGATACAACGAGCCACCTACGATTCCCCACAAGACAGCTTCTTAACAATATACAAGCTACCTACGATTCCCCACAAGACAGCTTCTTAACAAGATACAACGAGCCACCTACGATTCCCCACAAGACAGCTTCTTAACAATATACAACGAGCCACCTACGATTCCCCACAAGACAGCTTCTTAACAATATACAACGAGCCACCTACGATTCCCCACAAGACAGCTTCTTAACAAGATACAACGAGCTACCTACGATTCCCCACAAGACAGCTTCTTAACAATATACAACGAGCCACCTACGATTCCCCACAAGACAGCTTCTTAACAAGATACAACGAGCCACCTACGATTCCCCACAAGACAGCTTCTTAACAATATACAACGAGCCACCTACGATTCCCCACAAGACAGCTTCTTAACAATATACAACGAGCCACCTACGATTCCCCACAAGACAGCTTCTTAACAATATACAACAAGCTACCTACGATTCCCCAAAAGACAGCTTCTTAACAAGATACAAGCTACCTACGATTCCCCACAAGACAGCTTCTTAACAATATACAACGAGCCACCTACGATTCCCCACAAGACAGCTTCTTAACAAGATACAACAAGCTACCTAAGATTCCCCACAAGACAGCTTCTTAACAAGATACAACGAGCCACATTTTACATTTACATTTTAGTCATTTAGCAGAAGCTCTTATCCAGAGCGACTTACAGGAGCAATTAGGGTTAAGTGCCTTGCTTAAGGGCACATCAACAGATTTTTCACCTAGTCGGCTCGGGGATTAGAACCATCGACCTTTCGGTTACTGGCACAACGCTCTTACCCACTAAGCTACCAGCCACCTACGATTCCCCACAAGACAGCTTCTTAACAAGATACAACGAGCTACCTACGATTCCCCACAAGACAGCTTCTTAACAATATACAACAAGCTTCCTACGATTCTCCACAAGACAGCTTCTTAACAAGATACAACGAGCTACCTACGATTCCCCACAAGACAGCTTCTTAACAAAATACAACAAGCTACCTATGATGCCCCACAAGACAGCTTCTTAACAAGATACAACGAGCCACCTACGAATCCCCACAAGACAGCTTCTTAACAATATACAACGAGCTACCTACGATTCCCCACAAGACAGCTTTTTAACAATATACAACGAGCTACCTACGATTCCCCACAAGACAGCTTCTTAACAATATGCAATAAGCTACCTACGATTCCCCACAAGACAGCTTCTTAACAAGATACAACGAGCTACCTACAATTCCCCACTAGACAGCTTCTTAACAATATACAACGAGCTACCTATGATGCCCCACAAGACAGCTTCTTAACAAGATACAACGAGCCACCTACGATTCCCCACAAGACAGCTTCTTAACAAGATACAAGCTACCTACGATTCCCCACAAGACAGCTTCTTAACAAGATACAAGCTACCTACGATTCCCCACAAGACAGCTTCTTAACAAGATACAACGAGCCACCTACGATTCCCCACAAGACAGCTTCTTAACAAGATACAACGAGCCACCTACGATTCCCCACAAGACAGCTTCTTAACAATATACAACAAGCTACCTACGATTCCCCACAAGACAGCTTCTTAACAAGATACAACGAGCTACCTACGATTCCCCACAAGACAGCTTCTTAACAATATACAACGAGCTACCTATGATGCCCCACAAGACAGCTTCTTAACAAGATACAACGAGCCACCTACGATTCCCCACAAGACAGCTTCTTAACAAGATACAAGCTACCTACGATTCCCCACAAGACAGCTTCTTAACAAGATACAACGAGCCACCTACGATTCCCCACAAGACAGCTTCTTAACAAGATACAAGCTACCTACGATTCCCCACAAGACAGCTTCTTAACAAGATACAAGCTACCTACGATTCCCCACAAGACAGCTTCTTAACAAGATACAACGAGCCACCTACGATTCCCCACAAGACAGCTTCTTAACAATATACAACTAGCTACCTACGATTCCCCACAAGACAGCTTCTTAACTAGATACAAGCTACCTACGATTCCCCACAAGACAGCTTCTTAACAAGATACAATGAGCCACCTACGATTCCCCACAAGACAGCTTCTTAACAATATACAACAAGCTACCTACGATTCCCCACAAGACAGCTTCTTAACAAGATACAACGAGCTACCTACGATTCCCCACAAGACAGCTTCTTAACAATATTCAACGAGCTACCTATGATGCCCCACAAGACAGCTTCTTAACAAGATACAACGAGCCACCTACGATTCCCCACAAGACAGCTTCTTAACAAGATACAAGCTACCTACGATTCCCCACAAGACAGCTTCTTAACAAGATACAACGAGCCACCTACGATTCCCCACAAGACAGCTTCTTAACAAGATACAAGCTACCTACGATTCCCCACAAGACAGCTTCTTAACAAGATACAACGAGCCACCTACGATTCCCCACAAGACAGCTTCTTAACAAGATACAAGCTACCTACGATTCCCCACAAGACAGCTTCTTAACAAGATACAAGCTACCTACGATTCCCCACAAGACAGCTTCTTAACAAGATACAACGAGCCACCTACGATTCCCCACAAGACAGCTTCTTAACAATATACAACTAGCTACCTACGATTCCCCACAAGACAGCTTCTTAACAAGATACAACGAGCCACCTACGATTCCCCACAAGACAGCTTCTTAACAAGATACAACGAGCCACCTACGATTCCCCACAAGACAGCTTCTTAACAAGATACAAGCTACCTACGATTCCCCACAAGACAGCTTCTTAATAAGATACAAGCTACCTACGATTCCCCACAAGACAGCTTCTTAACAAGATACAACGAGCCACCTACGATTCCCCACAAGACAGCTTCTTAACAATAAACAAGCTACCTACGATTCCCTACAATAATAATAATAATATGCCATTTAGCAGACGCTTTTATCCAAAGCGACTTACAGTCATGCGTGCATAATTTTTTTTTTGTGTATGGGTGGTCCCGGGGATCGAACCCACTACCTTGGCGTTACAAGCGCCATGCTCTACCAGCTGAGCTACAGAGGACCACGACAGCTTCTTGTCATTGTTGCTAGCTATCTGACCGTTCAGAATAATAACACACAAACCTCTGCCCCATCGACATGTGCGCATCATTTTCAGCTAACCCGTCTATAGGGGCGGTGAGGTGATCCTGCTTGCTAGCATGCTGGTATTAGGCTAGCTAGCTACATTTAGATATATTTTTGGTCCAGGTTTTGATGATACTGTAGTGAATTCAGGGGGTAGCCGTGACCGGGACACGAACCCAGATCCAGCAACTGCCAAGCCATCACCTTAACCTTAACGCCGAGACGTCCAAACGTCTCGACAAGGTTGCTAGGTATTGAGTTAAGGTCGCTACAATACTAGCTAACTGTTACTCATGAAGGAAATACTGCACCTGTCTTGTTTGCATTGAGGGGACACTGACTCCAAGGCAGGGGGTCCTGGAAGGAGTTGAAGAGGTACCACATGATCCAGGCCATGATGGTGTTGTAGTACATCCCAACCAAGAATGATACCAACATGGAGGCAATACCTGTTTCACAACAACTGTCAGTTACATTCCCTGTACATTCCAGTGCATTATTATCATATCCAAGTTTATTCAAGTATGCTATATTCAAGTACATATCCAAGTATTTACAGTATTTATATTTAAGTATGCTATATCCAAGTATATATCCAACTATTTAAAGTATATATATTTAAGTATTGTAACGACCCTGTATTGTGTTCTGTGTTCATGGTTGTGTTATCGTTCTCATGGGTGCTAGCAGGGGTTAAATATGCCAGGACAGATGGAAAGGTTGGGGGGGTATGATGGGTAATCCCGCGGGGTTTTGGAATGCTTAAATAGGGGTTACGGTCTCATCTCTCTCTCTTCCGTTTTGGGACCCTTGACTTGACATGTATTATTTGTGTATGTTCGAGGTTTAGCGGCGTGGGTTGTGGCCTGAACAATAGCCCATTCAGGAATAAACCTGTGTTCTGCCTGTACACCTGGTGCCCGTCTCTCTTTTACTTTATGACCCAGCTGGGTCATTACATTGGTGTCATAAGTGCTTTCGAACGACGGGATAGATCGAGATTAGGCGAGTTAGCTGTTTCAGTATAGGCCGTGGTTAGATTTAGCGTGACTCGCATCTACGGTCATTATGATCGGGGCGAGGCGGAATGTTAAGGAAGAGTCGGACAAAGTGTCCGTTGTGGGCTCGGGTGTACCCGGTCGGGAGGGTCAGGCGATGATGGCTGTAGAAGAGCTGGAGAGCCACATGGCGGAAGTTAAATTGTCAGTCAGCAAGATGGCAGAACGGGCGGGTTTTCCTTCAAACCGCTCGACCAGAACAGACGTCACGGCGACGGAGATATCGACGTCACCGCGTGCGGAAATGGCTGGGCCTCCTTATGTAAACAGAGATGGCAGCGCCCTATTGCCATTAGCCACGGTAGCGGCTAAACTTCCAAAGTTCAATGGACAAGGTAAATGGGAAGTTTTTTTCACTCAATTCGAGTTGTTGGCTAGAGCCGGGAGGTGGTCTGACGAGACGAAAGGGTTACAGCTTGCCCTGAGCCTGGCAGAGGAGGCGTCGGAATGCCTGCTAACGCTAGCCCCGGACGAGAGGGGCGACTACGGTGCGCTAGTGGAGGCATTGGGGGGCCGTTTCGGCAGCGATGCACAGCCCAACATGCTGCGGATTGAACTGAGTAACAAAAAGAGACTTCAGGGGGAATCATTAAAGGCGTTGGCAAGTGATATTCTGAGCCTGACCAGGCGGGCTTATGCAACTATGCCGATTGGGGTGCAAGACGAGCTGGCACGGGACAGTTTTATTAGAGCACTCTCCCCCACCGAACTGGGTAAGCATGTTCAGATGTCGGACCCAGCATCTCTGCGGGCTGCAGTGGAGATAGCCAGGAAGAGGGAGCTGATCTGGGGTGAGGGAGTGAGAGTGGAGGTTGCCAGTCAACCAGAGGTGAGAGCAGCGGCGGCCGGGGTGCCGGGGGTCACCAAACCAGAGTGGGTCGACGAGTTGGGCGGGTTAGTCAAGACCGCTTCGCTTGTCATTGAGAGGGGCTCCAGACAACATCGCAGTGTCAGCTCAACTCCCATTGTCTGCTGGGGTTGTGGCCAGCCTGGCCACATTCAGCGGGAGTGTGGCAGATTCTCCAGTCACCAGGGAAACGACAGCGGGTTCTCGCGCAGGGGGCAGCGCGGGCCCACCCCTCCGCCCCCGAAACCACAGTAAGCAGAAGAGGTACCCAGCAGCGCAGGCAAGAGGGTGGGGACCTGCTTCCCCAGGGTGTGGCTGCCACCGTGTTTCCTAGTCCGGTAGTTGTGGTGGGACGTACCACCATTGGGGACTTCTGCAATGTCATCGTCAAGGTAGAGGGGGTGGAATGTTTGGCCCTGGTCGACACGGGCTCTACAGTAACCCTGGTGAGACCAGACATACTACCTGTTGGGGTGCGGGTGGAGCCGACACTTGTCCAGCTACGGACTGTCACGGGGGAGCTAGCCCCCATGTTAGGGAAGTGTTGGTTGTCTGTGACTGTGGGGGGGGAGAACTGTGGGGTGTCCGGTGTGGGTAGCAGCGGTACAGGACCCCTGTATACTGGGAATGGACTTTTTGAAAAACTGTGGGGCTCAGTTGGACTTAGCTTCGGGCACTTTGAGGCTGTCGGGGGGGCCCACAGTGGGAATGTCGCCTTCGGGAGGTCCAGCAGGGGGCAGGGCTGTCCCTCCGTCTTCCTCCAAGCTTGCCGAAACTCCACTGGTCGTCCCGGCTGCTCCCTTGGTCGTTGTGCCATCCCAGCAGCTGTCTCCGGCGGCAACGACCTTCACTCCCCATAATGGTGCAAGCACAGGCATCCCAGTAGCCCAAAACACACTGGCTCCTTCACCCCATCAGCCCGACGGGGGGAAGGAGGAAGTTATCGACGCCGTTGAGGCTGTGTGGCTGAAAAACTGTCAAGGTCTGGATGAGAGACAACAGAGACAGTTAAAGCAGCTGCTGTTTGACTTTAAAGATAGCTTCGCTTGGGGGAAGGATGAGGTAGGGCAAACGCACCTGGTTCAGCACGACATTGACACTGGGGACAACCAACCCATTAAAATTCGGCCCGTCGCATTCCCCTTGCCAAGAGGGAAGCAGCAGCCACAGCTATTGCTGACATGTTGCGGGCTGATTTCATTGAGCCATCAGATAGCCCATGGTCCGCGCCGGTCGTCATGGTGCCTAAGAAAGGGGGTAAACTTAGGTTTTGTGCGGACTACAGGGGCCTAAATTCTGTCACCACTAAAGACGCTTACCCCATACCGAGGATCGATGAGTCGCTAGACCACGTCAGAGGGTCCTCGTGGTTCTCTTCCCTTGATCTGCGCAGTGGCTTCTGGCAGGTGCCCCTCTCGCCTGGGGCACGTGAAAAAAACGGCCTTCTCCACGGATAGGGGCCATTGGCAGTTCAAGGTGCTGTGCTTCGGGCTTTGTAATGCTCCTGCCACCTTTGAGAGGCTCATGGACAGAGTGCTGGCGGGGGTTCCGAGAGACGAGTGTGTCGTGTACCTAGACGACATATTGGTGCACGGCACATCGTTTGAGGGGGCACTGGGGGCACTTAGGCGAGTGCTGGAGAGGATCTCGGGGGCGGGGCTAAAATTACACCCGGAAAAGTGCCATTTCATGCAAAGGGAGGTGGCGTTCCTGGGTCATCAGCTGGGTGGTGAGGGTATCAGCACGATGCCAGACAAAGTGGAGGCTGTGAGGGGAAAAAAAGAGGTTAAGAGCTTCCTGGGGCTGGCATCCTACTATCGTAGGTTTGTGAAAGGGTTTGCGGGGATAGCAGCTCCTATGAACCACCTTCTCAAGAAGGACACTGTTTTACAGTGGACCGAAGAGCACCAGCGGGCGTTTGAGGCCCTCAAACGTGCCCTGGTGGAGGCCCCTGTCCTGTCCTCACCAGACCCGAACCGTTCGTTTATCCTGGACACCGACGCAAGCAATGAGGGCTTGGGGGCTGTGCTGGCTCAGCGTGGTTCTGACGGGGAGCACGCAGTAGCTTATTACAGCAGAACTTTTGATAAGGCTGAAAAACGCTACTGCGTGACAAGGAGGGAGCTTTTGGCTGTCGTGGCAGCAGTACGCCATTTCAAGTACTACCTGGGGGGCCTGCCGTTTGTGGTGCGGACGGATCACTCCGCCCTGCAGTGGCTTCTCTCCTTCAAGGAGCCAGAGGGTCAGATCGCCCGCTGGTTGGAGGAGCTGCAACCCTACGACTTCCAGGTGGAGCACAGGGCCGGCCTTCGCCACAGCAATGCAGACGCCTTGTCCCGTCGCCCGTGTGCTGAGGACGGCTGTGGGTACTGCGCCAAACGGGTGGAGCGAGAGAGGGAACTGTGCATGGAGGAGGGAGTCACCGCCACGGTGAGTCAGCTGAGGGTGACAGAGTGCCGGGAGCTTGAGGCTGTGGACGTCGGGGAGTGGAGGCGTCGCCAGGAGGAGGACGCAGAGCTGCGTCCTGTGCTGGGGTGGGTGGAAGAGGTAAGACGACTGCCATGGGGGGAAGTAGCCCCTCTATCACCAGTCACCAAAGGACTCTGGGCTAAATTCTCAGTCCTTAGAGTGGCTGAGGGAGTGCTCCAGAGGGGGTGGAAAAAGCCAGCTACTGGAGAAATGACGTGGCAGGTAGTGGTTCCCAAAAGGCTGCAAGGGAGCGTGTTACAGCAGCTTCACGGGGGAGTAGGCGCAGGGCATTTTGGGGTCTCCAAAACGTTAAAGCACGTACGTAAAGGCTTCTATTGGTCCAGGCACAGGAGGGATGTGGAGGACTTTTGCAGGCAGTGCGACGAGTGTGCTGCTAAGAAAGGACCTCCAGGTCAGTCACATGCCCTCCTACAACAATTTCCAGTAGGGGAGCCCATGGAGAGACTGGGGGTAGACATAGTTGGACCGTTCCCAACCACAGACAGCGGTAACAGGTGGATTCTAACTGCTATGGACTACTTCTGGACACCAAGTGGCCAGAGGCTTACGCTCTCCCAGACCAGGAGGCAGAAACAGTAGCTGATGCATTGGTAGGGGGAATAATCAGTCGGTTTGGGGTGCCACAGTCTATACACAGCGACCAGGGGAGAAACTTTGAGTCACGGGTGTTCTCAGAGTTGTGTAGACGGTTAGGCGCGGAGAAGACGCGCACTACTCCGCTTCACCCCCAGAGTGATGGGCTGGTGGAAAGATTTAACAGAACATTAGCACAACAGCTGGCTATCGTTACCTCAAAACACCAGAAAGATTGGGACACCCACTTACCGTTTGTTCTTATGGCATGTATGTCGGCTGTTCAGGAATCGACTGCGTGCTCCCCAGCGCTACTAATGTTAGGTCGTGAGTTGCGCACCCCAGCCGAACTGACGTTTGGCCACCCTCCTGATAACGACGACGGGGTTTTGCCTGGCCCGAACTATGTTCGTCGTCTGCAGAACCGGTTAGAAGCGGCTCACACATTCGCAAGAGAGCAACTCGAGAACGCAGGAATGCGCCAAAAGCGCCACTATGACTCACGCGCTAGGGGGAGGCACTTTGGAGCGGGAGAATGCGTGTGGCTTCACAACCCCACGCGCAAGAAGGGGCGGTGCCCAAAGCTGGACAGTGCCTGGGTGGGGCCGTGTCTGGTGATAGAGAGAGTGGGGGAGGTGACGTACCGGGTGGAGGTTCCCCCACGGAGCAGGAAGGTGGTGGTCCACCGGGACCGATTGGCGCCCTACAGAGGGAGGAAAACGGTAGGGAATGGAAGTGAGGACTCTGATGTGAGCACACGGGGACAGTCTAGCGAGGAGACTCTAGTGCAAGCTGAGCCTGGGACGGGGGCTGCCTCTTCGGAGGGCGCTGGAAATGACATTGGGGCAGATGAGTGTTCTGGGGGTCCACCAGTGAGAGTCAAGGGGAGGCACAAGAGACTGATGCGACCTCCGGGTCGTTTTAAGGATTTTGTTTTGTAACCCTAGGGGCTAGGGTTTAGAAAGGGGGGGGCTATGTAACGACCCTGTATTGTGTTCTGTGTTCATGGTTGTGTTATCGTTCTCATGGGTGCTAGCAGGGGTTAAATATGCCAGGACAGATGGAAAGGTTGGGGGGGTATGATGGGTAATCCCGCGGGGTTTTGGAATGCTTAAATAGGGGTTACGGTCTCATCTCTCTCTCTTCCGTTTTGGGACCCTTGACTTGACATGTATTATTTGTTTATGTTCGAGGTTTAGCGGCGTGGGTTGTGGCCTGAACAATAGCCCATTCAGGAATAAACCTGTGTTCTGCCTGTACACCTGGTGCCCGTCTCTCTTTTACTTTATGACCCAGCTGGGTCATTACAGTATGTTATACATAATGCATAACAATGCAAAACATAAGCACTTATAACTACTTATAACCATATTCATAGAGCCAAAAGGGTTTTGTCATACATGATCACAGGAATTCCACACAGATACTGTAATCCGGAATGGACTGTCACCCACCAATGCCAGTGAGGTAAGGGTTGACAGAGCCCCACACCCCGACACTGCCCTTCCTGAGGCGCTGTCCGATAGCAAACTCCAGGTGCAGCAGTGGAATTCCCTCCAGAACCACCAGGATCAGGAATGGGATCATAAATGCTCCTGGGAACACAAGATTGGAATTGATGTCAGTTGGTTGTTTTGATCAGTTGACATATCAACAATACTCCACTGAACACATCCCCAATATTGAAATAGTAACGGTTGTGTTATTGTGTTATAAAAGTGTTTAGTGTTCAATATACTCAGATAATTTAATTAAAAATTAACTCTCCAGTGAAAATCTCACTCTTAAAAGCTCATAATATGTTAACTCATACCCAAATAATGTTGTTGACTTAGCCTACATTTGACATTTTTGTCATTTAGCAGACACTCTTATCCAGAGCAACTAGGGTTAAGTGCCTTGCTCAAGGGAACATCGGCATATATTTTTTTACATAGTTGGCTCGGGGAGTCGAACCAGCAACCTTTCAGTTACCCAACGCTAGGCTATCTGCCGCCCTGTATTCGTATTTGTGGCCAAAGCATAAATTGGTGAAAAAAATACTTCAAAAACCCCACCTCAAACTCCTTATAGGGTAGGATGTCATACTCCTGAGGAGGATGAGCTGGCCAATCAGCAGTCTAGAGGAGGATGAGGTGGCCAACCAGCGTTCTACTCACATGGATATGTTTAATGACCGGTGTACGCCCACACCATACTGTTCTTGGGGTACGCCCACACCATTCCAACACAGAAAACCTGCTTTATACTTAATTACCATGTTTTGGAAGGAAAACTATTTAACTCCTAGTGTAAGTCATTATAGGTCATATTTAATAGAAATCTGGAAACACTGGACAGTTACTTTATAGTGTTATTAACATGTTGAAAACAATTATGTAAACTAGGTACGGCAATGCATACAGAGGAGCAAGACATATACTATGGGGCTTCCCCTGTGTTAAAATACCCATTAGTTACACTAGCACAGAAAGCTGAAATTTAACTACCACTATTTGAAAACGATTTAACAAGTTGAGAATGATTAAGAATGTGTTTGTTTAATTAATTACTTGTTAGGATTTCAAACCATGACTAGCAATCCTCTCAAATACTGTACAGTATTGGGTTTTGAGCAATCCAAAATGTATTTACTACATTTTTAGTCATTTAGCAGACGCTCTTATCCAGAGCGACTTACAGTTAGTGAGTGCATACATTATTATTTTTTCTTCATACTGGCCCCCCGTGGGTATCGAACCCACAACCCTGGTGTTGCAAATGCCACGCTCTACCAACTGAGCTACATCCCTGCCGGCCATTCCCTCCCCTACCCTGGGCCAATTGTGCGCCGCCCCATGGGTCTCCCGGTCACGGCCGGCTACAACAGAGCTGCGATGCAGTGCCTTAGTCCACTGCGCCACTCGGGAGAATACTACAGTTCTCTATCAGTCATAATCATCTCAAATCAAATCAAATCAAATGTTATTTGTCACATACACGTGTTTAGCAGATGTTATAGCGGGTGTAGCGAAATGCTTGTGCTTCTAGCTCCGACAGTGCAGTAATATCTAACAAGTAATATCTAACAATTTCACAACATATACCCAATACACACAAAACTAGTAAGTAATGGGATTTAAGAATATATACATATATGGACAAGCAATGACAGAGCGGCATGGACTAAGATACAGTAGAATATTATAGAATAGAATGCAGTATATACATATGAGATGAGTAGTGCAAGATATGTAAACATTATTAAAGTGACTAGTGTTCAATTTCTTAAAGTGGCCAGTGATTTCAATAGGCAGCAGCAGCCTCTAATGTGCTAGTGATGGCTATTTAACAGTCTGATGGCCTTGAGATAGAAGCTGTTTTTCATTCTCTTGGTCCCAGTTTTGATGCATCTAAGAGTAAATTTAACTTCAAATACATCTTTGACCCATACCACAAAAAATGAACTGGTCATTCAATTGTTCACACAACTAATACCATAATCAAGATAGTATTCTGCTATCTCTGTATATGCAGATAAATTATCCTGCTAATTGTATAGTGTATTCCACCCTTTAACTACTTGTGTCAAGGGCATAGACAATGAGAACACCTTCCTAATATTGAGTTGAACCCCCTTTGGCCCTCAGAACAGCCTCAAGTCGTCTGGGCATGGACTCTATAAGGTGTCGAAAGCGTTTCACAGGGATGCTGGCCCATGTTGACTCCAATGCTTTCCACAGTTGTGTCTAGTTGGCTGGATGTCCTTTGGGTGGTGGACCATTCTTGATACACACGGGAAACTATTGAGCGTGAAAAACCCAGCAGCATTGCAATTCTTAACACACTCAAACCGGTGCGCCTGGCACCTACTACCATACCCCATTCAAAGGAACTTGTTTTGCCTTGCCCATTTTGTCTTGCCCATTCACCCTCTAAATGGCACACACACAATCCATGTCTCAATTGTCTCAAGGCTTAAAAATCCTTCTTTAACCTGTCTCCTCCCCTTCATCTACACTGATTGAAGTGGACTTAACAGGTGACATCAATAAAGGATCATAGCTTTCACCTGGATTCACCTGGTCAGTCTATGTCATGGAAAGAGCAGGTGTTCCTAATGTTTTGTAATCTCAGTGTAGTTTGTAGTATTCCCTGTTTTATTTCTACTGTGAAAAAAGTTGTAACTCAAAGTCCTTTTAATTAATTTACAGTTTTAAAATAACAAAAATGTTGCATACAATCAAGCCCACTCACCTCCTCCATGGCTCTGACACAGGTAAGGGAACCGCCACACGTTCCCCAGCCCCACACAGAAGCCCACACAGGTCAGCATGTACTGGGTCTTGTTGTCCCATTTGGGCCTGTCCCCGGCCTCCTCCTTCTCCATCCTCTCCAGCTCCTGGTGGGACGGTATCCGGTCATCCAGACCCGGATTGGGCAGCTTGGGGAATCTCATGGTGCAGTCTTCCTCACCCAATAAAGGTACTCTCTCTCTCGTTGTCACCTGGTTGACTGCTCAGTGTGTCTAACCTCTCTGGTTGTCACCTGGTTGACTGCTCAGTGTGTCCTGCCTTCCTTGTGTGGCCTCTACCCTCTAAATGTGTTCTTTCAAAGGGGGACTGTCACAGCACTTCTGCTGACCTTTGGTTTCACGGTGGCTTCAGTTATCGGAAGATACATCTGAGCCCAGTGAGATATTATACGTTGTCAGCAGGTTGTGGCGGCTAAAAGGTCAGACATCTTTATAATGTTTAAAACATCATGTGAAGAGCCGTCACATAATAGGAATTGTTTTCCAGAAGGGAGTGAGGGTCTGCATCCCAAAATCACACCCTATTCTTTATATAGCGCACTAATTTGGCCCGATGCAGAATGGAATGTGGTCTAGCTCACTCGTGACTGAGTGAGCTAGACTACATTTTATCCTCTCATTCACCAACAGGGTGACACATCCTTCCCATAAACGTTATCTTATCTTGGCTATCAGTGCAAGACTTTCCATGAACATAATGAAAATACAGTACGGAGTGGCAAAGGTGGACTTACGAAACATGTTCTATTTACATGGTTTTAACATAAGTTCATCTGTACAGTCTGCTTATTTTAAAGGTCCCCGGCAGTCATTTTGATTGCCATGTAAAATAGCCTTTTGAGTGAATAAAATATCACACATATTATTTTGGGGGGATAGAAATGCTCCCTCATGGCTAACTACCAGGAAGACTGAAAAGATAGGCTGAGTGGGCGGGGAGCTTATATTCATGAGCTCGCCTTGACTGACAGCTCTTTGAAACACCTATGTCAAGAAACTTGGATGCAGTGTTGCAGTAATATCATCTCAAGCTAATTTGGTGATACACAAAGCAACTCAAACCACATTGAAATTGCATCAATGATGTCAATTTTTTTATCCATCTCCCATCTGGCATGTCTCTTGTGATGCGGTTCACAGCAGCAGCCCCCCCCCCAACACCATGCTGGCTGAAGACCTAGCTAGCCAGTAACTAGCTAACACCAGACAGATGAAGACCTAGCTAGCCAGTAACTAGCTAACACCAGACACAGATGAAGACCTAGCTAGCCAGTAACTAGCTAACACCAGACAGATGAAGACCTAGCTAGCCAGTAACTAGCTAACCCCAGAACACGATGAAGACCTAGCTAAACCAGTAACTAGTTTTTAAAACCAGAAAATATGAGACCTAGCTCCAGTAACTAGCTAACACCAACACAGATGAAGACCTAGCTAGCCAGTAAACTACTAACACCAGATACAGATGAAACCTAGCTAGCCAAAGTAACAGCTAACACCCCGACCAAACCCATGAAGACCTAGCTAGCCAGTAACTAGCTAACACCAAAAGATGAAGACCTAGCTAGCCAGTAACTAACTTTAAACCACCCAGATGAAAACCTAGCTACCCAGTAACTAGCTAAAAAACCACAGAACACAATGAAAACCTAACACCATAAATTGCTAACACCAGACAGATAGAACCTAGCTAGCCATTAACTAGCCTAGACACCAGCACACAGTGAAAGAACCTAAACTTAGCCAGTAACTAGCTAACACCAGACAGATGAAGAACCCAGCGGACCAGTAACTAGCTACCAACAAACCAAGAGATGAGACCTAGCTAGCCGTAACTAGTAACACCAGACAGATGAGACCTAGCTAGCCAGTAACTAGCTAACACCAGACACAGATGAACCTAGCTAGCCAGTAACTAGCTAACACCAGACAGATGAGACTAGCTAGCCAGTAACAGCTAACAACAGACAGATGAGACCTAGCTAGCCAGTAAATAGCTAACACCAGACAGATGAAGACCTAGCTAGCCAGTAACTAGCTAACACCAGACAGATGAAGACCTAGCTAGCCAGTAACTAGACCAGACAGATGAAGACCTAGCTAGCCAGTAACTAGCTACACCAGACAGATGAAGACCTAGCTGCTAGCCAGTAACTAGCTAAACACCAGACACAGATGAAGACCTAGCTAGCCAGTAACTAGCTAACACCAGACAGATGAAGACTAGCTAGCCAAAACTAGCTACACCAGACCAGAGAGACTAGCTAGCCAGACAGGAAGACCTAGCTAGCCAGTAACTAGCACACCAGACACAGATGAAGACCTAGTACCAGCTAGCTAACCCGACCGAGAAGACTGCAACTAGCTAACACCAGACAGATGAAGACCTAGCTAGTCAGTAACTAGCTAACAACAGACACTGATGAAAGGGGGAAGATATAGAAGTATCTTTGCCATAGATGAATAGTGTAAACTTTTAATTATAGTTGCTGACACCCTACAGTAAAATGTTGTTACCAGTAGAGTAGCTATCTAGCTATATAAATCACGCCCCTCTTCAAACACACCTTCTCTGATGTTGGTTACAAATGAGAGAATATCCTGTTACCATTGGTGTATTAAAATGAGAGTTAGGGTGATGTCACCCTATCTCCTGAATATTTCATCCAAATATAATCAAATTTCATGAAAAACATGATTTTGATCGTTCATGACCTTTAACATAAATAAATGTGTACAGTCTAGTTCTGCTTGTGACTGAAAGCCCACTGATGCCATATGTTCCATACTCTATATGACTTCATATAGTCCATTATGTTCATGTATCCTCCGTAGCTCAGCTGAAAGCGTCTGCTAAATGGCATATTATTATTATTATTATTATTATTATTATTATTATTATTATTATTATTATTATTATTATTATGTCTGTATAGAAACCAATAGAAAAGTTGTTTGGTGAAACTCCCACACGAGTTGAGTAGGACAATAAAGTGTGTGGGGTTTGGAACGTTCTTAGACCTGAGATATGGGCTCAATTCACTAAACCCATAAACGTAAATCAATATCCTCTTGATGCAGTTGCATCCTTCTGACTATTGTTAATTGAAGGATATAGAGTTTATTCATCAAGGACCTAATATGAAATCAATTAATCAAGTAAGACAGTAACCCACTGGGTCATTTCAACATGGAGAATTGGGGGAACATTTGGTAGATTCGTTGATCAATGAGATTCCAAACTATTTTCACCCAATCAAAAAGACAGCCAAAAGTTTGTAGAATTCCCAACTATCCAAAAGCACATCCAAAATTTCAATGGAAGATCACTGTCAGATTTTTGGTTTAGTTGTCACCTAAATGTATCACTGCACTTTCAAATAGTTAAAGTCACACTAAAGTTCAAATGGGAATACAGAATACAATGTCAGCTATTTTGTTTATTTACACAACAATTTAATGTGTTGTCACTGTGCTTGATCTAATAGCACAACCAAATGACATGGATTGCAGTTAGTTGAGATGACATTAAAGTACATGTGGCAAGTGATCAATGCCGTTTGAGATTGTCTGTAGATTATTATAGCAATTGTGAAGATTTCCACAGACCTGCGACCTTGAACGCTTTCTATGATGACATAAGAAGACATTTATAGTTACAGCAGGGACGGCTTGTTCAATAGGGCGATATGGGCGACGCACTGCCAAACGGGAAAAGGAAGGGATTTTTTTTCTAATCAATTATATCACGGCAACAGCAGTTATCAGTGTTCACGTCTGATCTGCCAGCCACTAAATGTCAAATCAGGCTAAAGTCGTGCTTCAAATGGCCCCGCCCGTTTTTTGGGCGATTTCAGTCAGGTTGAAAATCGCCCAGAAGTCTCTCATAGCCTGTCATGTAAAATCTATTTTTTTCACATTTCAAAGCTTTCAATACATTCTCTATGGGTGTCTGTGGGCATGCACTTACGCGCTTTCGTCATACGTGACGTAACGTTGAACGTAACTAAGACAATGGCGGCTAGCAGCGTCTATGTTTCGACCTGCAGTGTGGCGTTATTTTATGTTTTTAATTTGTAGACTTAGTTTACAAACATTCTGCAAACATTCTGCTTTGGTCTGATCTTCGGTTTTGGACTGATCTTGTTGATCGTGTACATACCCGCTACGAACGGACTAAATAATGAAAACGCTGCTGGCAGCGGAATCCCAATACAGCTGGGAGACTTGGCTGGATGACAGAGTCCCGGACAGAGAGGTGGAGCCCGCTGGCTTCACCCTGGTCAGAGCGGACCGCGATCCTGGTAAGAGAGCGACTCTGTACCCCGACATTGAACTGCTTTCTGTGTCATTGAACCTTACTATTGTTGATAAAACAAGTTTACTGGAGAACGGAGACCAAGTAGAGACTTTTGGACAAGGTGGATAATTGTATAATATAAGGCAGTTTATTCAGAGGTAAAGATATCTGGAATCGCGTGCACGGACCCGTTCGTCAAACTCGTAGGGAGTTTATCAGAAGAGCCCCTAAACATTGTGTGCTGACATTTTATACAATAAAATGAAGTAGGTTGAATCTAGTAGTTCTGATCTTCTGATTGGTCCTGATGAGTTGGGCGAGGTCACCTCCAGGCTAGTGTCACTGTTGCATTGGCTCTGAGTCGGGTTCTCTGTCTTCAGATGTTCAGCCTAAGAGAAGAGGATTTGTGTGTGTGTGTGTGTGTTTGTTATCAGTGTGTGTGTGTGTGTGTGTGTGTGTGTGTGTGTGTGTGTGTTTGTTATCAGTGATGATGTGTGTGTGTGTGTGTGTGTGTTTATCAGTGATGATGTGTGTGTGTGTGTGTGTGTGTGTGTGTGTGTGTGTGTGGGTGTGTGTGTGTGTCCTCAGGGCAAGAACTCGTGAGTTGGAAGAACTGAGAGACCTATGGCGTGGGTGTTATCCTTAGCCACCTGCTGACAAGGCTGACAAGATAGGACTCTTGTTCATTGTATTGAATACAAAGGCCCAACACAAAATGGGTCATGCACAAGATTTTAGTCAGACCAAGCTATAACATTATATATTTACTACGACAGTACATTCAACCAAAAGCTAATATAACAAAGGCATCAGAGATTATTTATAATCTGTCACAGAAACTGGA